TTCCTTGGTCTGCTACATTGGGGGTCGACGTTGTATAAACCTGATAGATTGCAATTTAATGAATGAACTGCATGTTGGCATAGTTAAAACCCTTTACAGTTGTAGTATGACATATAACTAAAACTTACACACAAAATTCATTCTTACCTCAGAAACAACCAAAACCAATTCAACAACGTTTCAACACCGACAAGAGTAGTGACTAAGCAACTAGAAACATCGTTTCACTGCTTCACCTCACCCTTGTTGTCAGATTCATTCACGCTGTCCCGTTTGTTTGTTTCTTTGCACACCTTGTGTGGTTTAACCTGGTTACGATGTACCCATTTAACAGTTGGCTCTTTTTGGCCTTTACTGATTTTTATCTGATAGACAACTGGAGACAGTTTGTCTGTTATCAGATGGGGTCCAGTCCATCTGGGCATCAGTTTACGGGCGAGAGTTCCGGTCCCGGACTCTCTTCTCCCAGTTGTGGGGGCAAACGTGTAGTACCAGACCCTGTCTCCCACTTGGAGTTCCTCGTGAGAGGCCTTTTGGTCGTAGTACGCTTTGCGTCCTTCAGCTGATTTTTCCAGGTTTTTCTGTGCGAAAGCAAAAGTGTTTTTAAGGTGTTTTTCCAAGTCTTTCATGTATTGTTGTGTAGTGTAGGCTGTTGCCATGGCAGCATCGCCTGGTTGGTACAACAGGTGTAGAGGGAGAGTCATTTGTCGACCCGTCATCATCTCGAAAGGAGAGATGCCAGTCGACGTGTGTGGAGTGGCTCTTATGGCCATGAGGACCAGAGGGAGTTTCACGTCCCAGTCCTTGTGGTTTGCGGCTACGTATTTTTTCAAAATACTCACCACAGTCCTGTTTGCTCTCTCAACCTGGCCTGAAGCCTGTGGATGGTAGCCAATATGGAAGTTGGCTTTGACGCCTAGCGTCTTCCACAGTTCCTTCATTACTTCACCTGTGAAGTGTGTACCTTGGTCTGAGTTCACCCTGAGGGGAAGTCCAAACCTTGAGAATACATGATTCATTAATAACATAGCAGTGGTTTGTGCTGTGTCATTAGGGGCTGGTAGACATTCTACCCATTTGGTAAACGCGCAGGTTACCGTGAGAAAATATATATTTCCCCTAGAGGTCTTAGTGAGTGGTCCGACCCAGTCAATCTGGAGGTCCGACCATGGAAATGCAATGCCTCTACTATGCAGTGGTGCTCTGTGGAGTGGTCTGGATGGCTGAAACTGGCCACAGACCAGGCACCCTTTTATGTAGTCTTTGACATCCTTTTTCATTCCAGGCCAATAAGCAATCTGCTTTAATGCTTTCAGCGTGGCATTGTCACCCTTATGTCCTGCGGACGGAAGGTCATGTGCATGAACTAACATCACCCCCCTGTGGTCATGGGGGACCACGAACATAGGTGAGGACGTCCGTCCATGAGCAAAAGTTAGGATGCCCTTAAGTAGTTTTAGCTGTTTGCGCAGCTGAAAGAGGACTTTAAGGTCTGGATTGGAATCCAGTTCGCCTTTCGATGGAGTGTATTTGTCTGGGTCAGTCAGATACAGCATCAACGAGTTAATTGCAGGATCCAACTTCTGAAGTTGGATGATGTCTGGATCAGTCAGCATCGGGCGCACAGAAACTGTGTTATCAGCAGGTTTAGCTGCAGCTTGTGCACGTGTGACTGCCATTACCTAGTTGTAGCTTGTGACGACTGAGTGTTGAGTAGCCAGGAGGGGTCAAAGGACCACATGGGTCCGTCAATGGCTCCTTCCTTGGCTAAGGAGTCTGCAAGGTCATTATAGTGCTTGTCATCGCCTGGGACTCTGGAGTGTCCTGGAACTTTCTTCCAGAAGATCTGTAGATCATGTGATGTCACCAAGTGATCACATGTCATGAAAAGCTCTTTGTGTTTTACCACCTTTTTGTTGCTTGTGAGAAAACCGTTCTGTTTCCACAGAGCGAGATGACACAAGAAACTGAGTCGAGCATAGTTAGAGTCAGTGCAGATGACTAGCGTCTGGATGGAGCGTTCCACTGCCATCTGTAGGCCTATTAGGATTCCAGCTATCTCAGCGTACTGAGAAGACTGAGAGCCCAATTTATAGCCAAATGTGACTTGTTCTAGGTCCTGGAGGAGAACTCCTCCAACACCTGCTTTGCAGATTGTCTCGTGGTGGAATGAGCATCCATCCACGTACATTGTCGCCATATCCTTACAGATATTGCTATCAAAGAAGTGGTGATTTGGGTCCTCAGCAGCTGAGGGTTTACTCACAACCGGCTGTTGGGTGGCTGGTACATCCTGTGTACATTCTTGGCAGATTGCCAAATCAGTGCCCAAGTGTGACTTCTTATTTTGACCATAGCGGATGTCTAGGTTAAAACTTTGAAGTGCCATAAGCCATGTTGCAAC